GTTTTGCGCAACGGGAAGAAAGACATAGGACGGAGGGAGTAAAACAATCAAAACCAATAGTAAATTCTATTTTATACTCCCTCCGTTCCACAAAACTCTTCCCCTTTCGTTTTTTTTTTGAATTCCCTAAAAAACTTTCACTTTCTATTAAAAACCACTTTTACCCTTACTTTTTCATATCCTACCTATCACATCATACTTTTTCTCTAATAACCAAACTATCACATCTTACTTTTTACCCATCACATCAGGGGCAAAATTGGAAAGTCAACCAAAATTACATTTTCCTTATTTTTACCAAAAGTCAAAAGTAGAAGGGTTTAAAGAAACAGAAAGAGTATTTGATGTGTCTAGAGAGTAACTTTTTAAAATGGATTTCTTTTTAACATGGTGCAATTGGCAGATGTGGGGGTTTATCGGGAGAATGGTAGTAATAACCATTCATCTCTTGAAGAGAGATGACATAGTGATCTCGAATCATCCTATAACATTGATTCTCAATGTCACTACCTATGGGAACCAAATTTTTAATATCAAGGGGGAGAAGAATATACTCCCTCCGTCCCTAAATATTTGCAATATTTGCTTTTTTTAGCAGTCGCGGGAACTTTTGTTTATTTCTACGTTTTATTGGTTATTTGATGAAATAAAATATTCTTGACACCTCTTATTCGAAATACTTTTCATGTAATTTTTTGATATGTAAATTTTATTTTTTATTTCTATATCAATATGTAAATAAAATAAATTGAAAAAATATGATATTTTACTTCAAAAATACAAGTGTGACAAATATTTAGGGACGTAGTTAGTATTGTTGTGTGTTCCTTCAAATAAAAAAATAATTATGCGACACGACGTACATGATTGATTCGGGCGAGATTAAAAAAAACGTAACTATCAAAAATGCTCAATGAAACATTCCGATGAGTCGTATAATGAATGGGATATATGTTGATGATTTATCATCATAATTATTATATTTATTTGTGCACACGCTATTACACGGTGGAATAAAGGCATAGCTAATGGAAAGAGTGGTGCTTTTTTCGAATAGGACTCTTAACCATAACCATAATAAATAGGGTCATGCTACACTTAGGGGTGTTTGTTTTTTATGCAGGAAAAGATATGCAGTCTGTGGACCACTACTATAGACATCTGCAGGAGAAGTGGTGGACCGAAGGTCTGCGGTCTGCAAGAAGAAGACTGTTTGTTTTTTAATGTCTGTAGACTGCTATATAAATTAATGGTGGTAGTGTACGGTGGTGGTTTATGAACGATTGTGGTGGTGGTGGACGTTGACGGCGGCGTTGGTGGACAGTGGTGGCGGTGGATGGTGGCGGTGGATGGTGGCGGCGGTGGTGGACGACGGTGGCGGTGATGGTGGACAGTGGTGATGGTGGTTGACGGTGGTGGTGGTGAAGAGAAGTAGAAGAAAAAAATGGAGAAGATGTTAGAAGACATAGGTTAATGTCTTCTCCAAGAAGATGCGAGGAAAACCTTTTGGAGTGAAATGTCTTCCAAAAAACAAACACTTTGCAGAGCTCAACATCTGCGCGCGTCTGCACGGCGAAGACAAAAGAGGCCAGAAGCTCTTCTGGCCAAAAAACAAACACCCCCTAACACTAAAAATTGTATCACATTTGTACATTGCAGTAATACATAAACATTTTGGTAGTTTACACCGACACAAGTGTTGGTGCATTAACAAAAATTTACACGGACACAAAGTGTTGGTGCGTTAAGAAAAGCTAGTTTTACACCAACATAAAATGTCGGTGCAAACCTGCGGTGTACAAAATGGGGTACAAAAGTTTGGGGTACAAATAGCTTTATTCTAAAAAATACTCACTCTCCGTGAGTATTTATCTACTTTTAATTTTTTCGATCAAAATTGAAAATTTTTTATTTAAAATTAAATAAAAACGATATTAGTTATTGATACAAAATAATTTTATAAGATTTATAATATCAAGTATTTTTAAAATTACCTAATTGACTTTCAATCATGAAGGATAGCCAGTAATTTTAAGGTGAGGTGTGCTAGGTGATGGTGTAAATTACCTAACCGGGTAAATGATTCTAGACCGGGTTTAGGATTGTTTACTGGATTCGAGACTGTAAAAGATAAAAGCACACAAAGTAACTAGGAGAACTGTAGGTGGAAACACATGTAGCCCAATTGTTATTCGAATATAGTAGAATGCACGAGAGCTTTTACACATGGTTTTAGTGAGACAAAATCGGATCCCTTCATTTGAGGGTTACATAGGTATTTATAGTAAGTTAGAGGGGACAAGGCGCCGCACACTCACGTTGACCACGTTCCTTGGTGTTGCGAGGTGACTGCCTCTGTCTCTTAATGGCTTGTCATCTAGCTAGGAAGGTGACTCCCTTGTCACGTAGTGTTTAAGACAGATTGCTCGAAGATCTTTGAATGATTCTTCGTTGAATTTGGCCGCTACAGACCTACTTCCTTTGGGTTCTTCCTTGCCGACACTTCCCAACCCTAGAAATCATACCAGGTAGATTATCAATGGATGTGTTGATTGAAATTGGGGATGAACGTGGAAAGTCGAGTAATTTGACTGGTAGACTATTCGAAGTATACCGGTCAGATTATATCGTTGACCAATATATTTCCACTGTCATTTCGGCTTCTCATTCCGGAATTTCCATCTTGACCGGTCAAGTATTTTCAAGCCCGTCCATGGACCAGAACTCTATGGAATACACCCATCACTAGGATACATCAATTTGTCTCTAACACTCTCTTAACTTGCTATTTTGTTTTATCCAATGTTTACATTATCAAAGTAATATTCTTTCTTTAAATATTTTTATTCATTATTTGTAAAAATAAAATATTTATGTCTCTTTTTTGTTGAACTCTTGGTCCTTTTTAACTGCAAATTACTGTATGTAGCCATAATTTTATAATTCTGCACCAATATTTTAAAAAATTTCTTAAATAAGACGTTAGTAAAATATCGTATATCAAAATGATACAAAAATAGCAAGAAGAAGGGAGTATAAGTGGCTAGAGATTCGATGAACTATGTTCAACTCATTCAACCAAAAGGTACGAATTATTGAACACATATGGTTCAACTCATTCAAAAGATGTACAAAGTCTATTTGTTACATTTTGCACAGAGAGGTTCGATCATATATATAGTAAAACCTTTCGTAACTCATTTGTAGAATATGGACGAGCCACATCCAAGGGAACTTGCAAGGGTAATTTTGGCCGGGGACCTTAATATACTTATAAATGTGCAGGTTCTCGTAATTCGAGTGAGATTCTCATGGCGCAAAAGCAGACATGGTCTATTATTCTCTCATTCCTTATATTGGTTATGTTCTTTAATTCTCGTCTAGTTGAAACTAATTGAGCTTCATTTAATCTCTTAAAAGCGGAAGCTGGATCGGTTGTGGGTATAAGTCTATTTCGCCCTTATCTTTTAAGGGCGTGTTCTTTAGAGCTTGAATACTTAACTTCCAATTTCTTCCAGTTCCTTCCAGTTCTTTCCAGTTTCTTCCAGTTCTTCTAACTCTTTTCAGTTCCTTCTAGTTTTTTTTTTCAAGTTTCTTCCAGTTTTTCCAGTTCCTTCCAGATTTTTCCTAGTTTCTTCTAATTTCTTCCAACTATATTTATTTTCTTCAAATTCTCTCTACTTTCTGACAAATTACTATAAAAAATATATTATTATTATTATTACAACTTTTTTAATTACAACATTTATGTTCATAACTATACTTTATAAATTATTTCATTTTTTCATCTCACTATTTTTATGATTCACACTTATTTTTCCAGTTTCTTCAACTTTTTAATATGAATAATACCGTTTTTTGTATATTAATCTACATGAAAAATTTGGAAACTATTTAAAAAATTATGGATAAATAGTTATATAGAAGATTTTTTTAATCTAAATTTATATAAGGTAAATTACATTTTAAGGGACTGGAAGAATAATATTATGAAAACCAAGAGAAAACTACATTTTAAAAAAGAAAAAATGACCGAAGAAGTGTAATATTTATGCTAATTTTATATTCTAATTATTTTTTTAAACTAGCTTTTTATGAAAAATAATACTCGTAATATTTTTTTATCTTAAATACAATTATTAAGATACCGTGATAACACCACCACTACCACCACAACCACCACCACTAACAACAAGAATAATAATAATAATAGTAATAATAATAATAATAATAATAATAATAATAATAATAATAATAATAATAATAATAATAATAATAATAATAATAATAATAATAATAATTATAATAATAATAATTTATAACAACAAGAATTAGAATGAGAATAATATAAAACCACACATAATTTTTTTTTCAATTTTTTCTAGTTTTTTCAGTTTCTTTTAATTTTTTTCAGTTTCTTTTAATTTTTTTCAATTCCTTCCAGTTTCTTCCAGTTCTTTCTAGTTTCTTCCAGTTCTTTCCAGTTTTTTCCAGTTCCTTCCAGTTTCTTCTAGTTCCTTCCAGTTTTTTCCAATTCCTTACAGTTTCTTCCAGTTTCTTCCAACATCTAGCTCTTTTTTTCCAGTTCTAAAGAACAGACCCTAAGAGCCTAATTCATTCAAGAAATTTATATACTATGATTTTATAAAATAAGTGTGGATTTTAGGATCATGGAAATAATTTGCCAATGTGTTGTTTAGCTTTCTTATCCAACCTATAATGTACCCGAACTTTTAGCAAAATTTAGGTAATAATTACGAAGTGTGTAAATTTTATAATTAATCTTTTTATCATATATAATTTAAATTTTGATCAAATTTCTTCATGTACAATGCACGGATATGAATCTAGTTGATCCAAAAAAACAATTCATCTAGCAATTAGTTGATTAATCTTTGGATAATTGTACGGAGTATACGTACAACAATAAATTTAAACTTCCTATCGGCCCAATAAAATTATACGAAAAGCCCAATCCATTTTGGGATATCAATGTCCATGTTAATATCCGGGCTCCGGAGTATATAAGAGATGCTGAAAATCCTAATTCTTCACCCTCGGAGATCCTCTCAGCCCTAGCTAGGTGCCGCCGCCGTTCTCCGACTTCTCCCCGTTCCGAGCAGCCATGGTACTTCTATGCTCATCCTCTTCGAATGATCGATTACAATTGTGAATCTTTTGTTTGCAGTTTGAAAATGGCGATCTTGATTGCAGGCACCGAAGAAGGAGAAGGCTCCACCTCCGTCGTCGAAGCCCGCCAAGTCCGGCGGCGGCGGCAAACAGAAGAAGAAGGTCTGATTCGTTGATCTAGCTTTCTGTATAGTATCCGATGTATTTGATAAGGTTTTCGACTGTGTATTTGTATGGACTAGGAGGATCTATCAAAGTCATAAAAAACTACTCTTTCTATGTAACATTTTGTGCGCATTATGTGGTTGTGAAAATGCAGAAGTGGAGCAAGGGAAAGCAAAAGGAGAAGGTCAACAACATGGTGCTTTTTGACAAGGCCACTTACGATAAGCTTCTCTCTGATGCCGCCAAATACAAGCTAATTACTCCCTCTGTGCTGTCAGAACGTCACAGGGTATGTGAATATATGCTTTTGTGATATTCTCGAACTCATATCTCATATCATCATATATGTAGCATTGGTTGATTTGGCTTATCTTGCTTATAATCAGAAATAGCATTGGTTGTGAGTTGATTATTTGACTGGAATGGGTTTAACTGACACTGTGATTCCAAAAATTTAGCATGTTTTCTGTCATTTTTATAAAAACAATCATTATCAAACATGCTCTTCTTCACTGAAGATGCTCTGCCTGAAGATTTAGTCTGTTTGAAGCTTGTGTGACTTATAAAATCCCATGTAGTTGGGTTTTGAGTCAAATGTAGTTCAATAACTACAATTGGATTGCGTTTATTAGGTGTAGGACATGTCCTTCAATGGCTGGCTATTCCCAATTCCTTTAGCTGAAGTAGGAGGTTGGGATGGTTTGTTGCTTTGCTGGGTGTGTTCAGTTTGGATATTATCATTTGCTTAATCCTTTCTATTTGAAATATTTTAGTTATGCCTCACTCCTGAAGCAAATGCAGGAGAATGGAATGGATACTGATGTGCTTTCCTAGTATAGAATGCAAGCATTTCTCTTTTTTATCTAAATGAAACCTGAATCTTGTGAGCTGCAAAAAAGAACACCAGCTCTGCTCATTTGTGCTTTCATTGAATCAGAGCTGTGTTTTTGCAGATGTCTTCATCTTCATATATAAATCTGTAAACAAACATATTTAAAATACTCAGTGAGGGAGATTGACAAGTTAAAAAATCCCAAGGGAACTCGCTTCATACTCCCAATAATTGTATTTGGAAACCAACTATTCTTAAGCAATCAAAACACTTATTTGCATAGATAGGAATCTTCAAATGAATGTGATTTGCCTTGCTACCCAATGAACTATTATTGTGTTATTCAATTTCCTTGTTTTTTCATTGACAAGTTATTCCATATTGTTTGTCTTTGGAACTGTAACTTGACCGTTATTGTCAAACAAACATTGCAGATAAATGGCTCGCTTGCTAGAAAGGTAATCATTGAATTGGTGGAAAGAGGGTTGATTAGGGAGGTGTCTGTACATGCAAGCCAGCAGATATACACCAGAGCAACCAACTCTTGAGACGTTCAACTTTTGTATTGAGAATTCATGTGGTCACTCTTATCACTCTCTGCTCTTGTGCTTTGAGTTTAGAATGTCTTCCCTTTTTTTGAATTCGCGCATGTCTACATTTTTCAACAACTACTACATGACTACTAGTACCAGGGATGAAGTTGTTTTGTTCACATTTTAGACTTTAATGTATTGTTTTTGCATGTTGATTTTCTGGTGTTTTCCCCATGGCTACATTTGATTTCCTTCTGCTTCATGAATTACGATGAATACTTGTAGAATTGTTGGGGTTTGGGAAACTCAGTTCACGACCTCCCTCCTCTCACCACCCCTTCTTCAATGAGTCCTTAACCATCAACGAGGCCTTGAGTGGGTGAAAAGATTTTACCCGGACACAATACTTTAGGCGTTGAATTGCCTCTCGGGTGTCATCGCCCTCAAACACCCCTGCGATGACCTTTCTCTTTTATTTCATGGTATTTGCTCTTGTAAAACTCATCTTCTCACTTGAGACAGATTTTTCCTGTACTCGAGCTTTTTAGCGAGTAAAGTGACTTGTGCTCCCGCGATCGATGCATATACCCGTCTTCACAATGGGTATGAACTTAATTACCTCAGACTTTTTACTTGATCTAATGAATGATTTCTTTGTTTTTCCTCGAAATAAAACATTCTACACCTAATCTAATCTTTTTACACACATCCACAATCCACATATATTGAACAATAAAGATGTTCGTTGATATTAAGATGAGGCTCCTAGCATGGTCCGAGTGAATTATGTCTATTTTCGTTGTTTTTTATCTTGATGCTCTGCTATGTATTGTGGGGTCTTAGTCTTTAATTTTTAATGGATGGTTAAGTCGTCAACAAGTCATTGATTTTAAGTGTTTGAAAAAAAAACTTACCACGTGCCTTGTAACAATGTTTAGTTTTAATGTTTTAAAATTAAAATACTCCGTACATTATTAAAAAGTTATCCAAGATGTTAATGTTAATTTAAAAATATAATTTTCAAATAAAGCCTAAATAGCTACTCTTCACTTTCAAAAATCCAAAGAATTTTTCCGGAGTTGCAATAAAGATGCTTCCTGCACTTCAAAATTAACTTTTCATTTATTTCTGTGGGGAAATATTTTCAACTTCTAATAATATAAGTGTGTGAATGGTGTGATGGCTTTTGTTTATATAACTTTGATAACTTTTAAATTGTACTTTTTTAAATATCTAATTCCGTATTAAAAATAAGTGGAAATTTTACTTTTGCAATGGTGAGGCATTTTATTTAAGTGAAATGAACACTTCATTGGGGGGGGGGGGGGGGNGCGACATCCCCACATTATAGCAATTATATCATCATAGTGTCATATTACAGTACAAACTCTTATTTTTGAGATAAATACTATATTTTATTCTTTTTTTAAACACTACTCCCTCCGTCCCTAAATATTTGCCACATTTGTATTCCCGAGATAAAATATCAAGCTTTTTCAATTCATTTTATTTACATATTGGTATAGAAATAAAAAACAAAATTTACATATAAAAAACTACATGAAAAGTTTTTCAAAATAAGAGGTGTCAAAAATATTTTATTTTATCAAATAACCAAAGAAAACGTAAAAATAAACAAAAGTTCTCGCGACTACTGAAAAAGCAAATGTTGCAAATATTTTGAGACGGATGGAGTATATTTTATTCTTGTTTGTGATTATTGCCTATAAAATTTGAACTTAAATTACATAATCAATGAAACTCAGTATTTGTATTTTAGAGGGAGATGAATTTTGGATGTCAATTAAATAAAACTAAAACAGTAATATGTACTCCCTCCGTCCCAAAAATCATTTCCGTTTAAAAAAATTGCGTCCCTTAAAGGCATTCACAGTTCTATTAAAAAAATCACTTTTACCCATTACTTTTTCATACCGTACCTATCCCATCATCCTTTTTTCCTAATAATCTACACATCATATCTTACTTTTACCCATCACTTCAAGGATACTTTTGGAAAGTCAACACAAAATTATTCCTCCTTATTTTACCACTTTAGTCAAACCGTGCCTATCTTTATGGGACGGAGGGAGTATATAAGTAGAAAAATGATTTTATTAAATCTATCTGGTTGAAAACTTTTGATATTTTATTTCATTATATCAATATGTAATAAAAAATTGAGAGTAAGCATTCTCATATATATCATATAGAATTATGATATTTCAATTCAAAATTAATTAGCAATTGATTAAGTAACATTTTTTTATATTAGTCTTTTTTTTTAGGTTGAATAATGCTCGATATAGATTAATTTGAATCATACACATTTTAAATTTTAATAGTTCACTTTTTTTTATATAAAAAAAATGTGATATTTCCACTTTTTTTATAAGAAGAATGTGACACATACTGACATACATACAAGAAGTCAAATAATAAACTTTTGTTCATTTGGGTGAAGGGATCGAGTATAAATCGTTGTAAATGTTCTCCCTTCAACTCTGCGAGCGTTTAGAACAAAAAGAAAAAAAAAAGAAAATGGGTTATAATAATTATTCTAAGAATAATATTGGCTTAATTATCATTACTAGCTATTACTATAAGCTTCTCCGTTATCATTCTCCTCATAGCCGCCGCACCTTTGCCCTCTTCTTTTGCAGGTACATTTATATTATATATACACTTGATTACAATTAGGATCCGTCTGATACACGGGATTGATGGTAATTCAGGCCATTATTACTATTAGTATCAATCAATTACATACTTCCAGGCCAACGAAGCAACTTTGACAATCAACACACAGTTACTGCAACTTCGGAGGTCAATCAGGTCAGTGTGTGTGTGCGACTATGCATGCATGTGTGTAGTACTATTGGTTATTAAGTACTCCCTCCGTTCCCCAGTTTTTGTCCACTTTTGACTTTTAAAACTGTTAATTTAAGCACTTTGACTCATCAAATACTCTCAATGTGTAAGCCTAAATATAATTTAATTTCTCTTAACATATAGATTATTAATATATAATTTCTATAATTTTTTTATATACAAATTACAAGATAAAATAGATTAAAGAAATACATTGAATGAAGTGTAAAAATGAAAGTGGACAAATACTCTGGGACGAAGGACGTACTACGTGTATGGTTATTACAAATTTATCATTACGTTGTATTAATAAACATGTTTCATATTTCCTTCAAAACTTATTTTTCTTACTTTTTCTTATGGAAATCAGATCATATAAAAAACAATTTTAAATAAAACTATATTCGGATCAAATTATATCTAAACTTAGCCAAATCAAATCAAAATCATTCAAATCAAGTATAAAGATCATGACTTAACTCATTGGGACGTGGAGAGTGAGACAAATTGGGGTTTGATGGGAGATTGGGAGTTGAGGTGATTTTATCCTTTTCACTTGTTCCTCTTCGTAAAAGATATTCATCATGATTCATAAAGGAGATGATCAGGTATAGCCATAGGGGAAACACCAGAAAACCAACATGCAAAAACAATACATAGAAGTCTAAATGGGAACAAAACAACTTCATCCCTACTACTAGTAGTAGTTTAAGAATGTAGTCATGCACAAATTCATAAAAAGGGAAGAGATTCTAAACTCAAAGCACAAAGAGCAGAGAGTGATAAGATAGTCCATAGGAATTCTCAAACCAATTCTTGAAGTTGAACCTCTCAAGAGTTGGTTGCTCTGGTGTATATCTGCTGGCTTCCATGTACAGACACCTCCCTAATCAACCCTCTCTCAACCAGTTCAATGATTACCTTTCTAGCAAGCGAACCATTTATCTGCATTGTTTGTTTGACAATAAAGTTACCATTCTAAAGACAATCAGTATGGAATAAATTATCAATAATAGTTTCATATCACATTCATCAGGAGATTTTTATCCATGCAAATAAACTTTGGCATCCAAACCTACCATGTGTTCTGATTCCTATATAATCGCTGGTTTCAAAATTCAAATGTTGGGGTATGAAGCAAGTTCTCTTGGTTTTTGTTGAATTTGTTTCCTTGTTGAGTATTATAAATTTTTGCTTCCAGATTTCTATCTTAAGATGTATATGTCTGGCAGAAAACCAGCACTACCTTCAACCAAACCACAAAGGAATAGGACTAGTGTTCCATTTCGCAGTTCACAAGATTATGGTTTCATTTTGATTAAAAGAAATCATATTTGGAAACACAGCACACAACAGTATCCATTTCATCCTCCCACTTTTGCTACAAATACGAGAAATAGCTAAAATCCTTCTAATAGAAGGGATTCAGCAATTGATTATTGTAATTGAATCTGTATACTAACAAATACAATTCTTGAAGCAAATTCCCATCGGGATAAAATTCAAAGACTATTAGTTAATAAACTCCCAATTGTATCTTTCCCTCCAGTTGTTAATCCAAATTAACATTTTTAACTAATAAAACATGCATCTCAACATTTATTGAAAACTCAGCAGGAAGGTTTTTTTAGGGAACATTAGGTAGGCTAGAGCTTTAATTGCATCACTATCTAAAAAGCACATTTGGCCAGTCAATGTTTTTTAGTAAATTCATCCCAGTCACACGAGTACATCAAACCCCAATTCTAATTCCTATTATATGCAGAATAGTTATTATCCTAATTATATGTCAAGTCAAAAAAGGACTGTTTACAGAATACATATGAACACATATATCATTCCTTTTTGGAGTTAAAAAATTTCTTCTTTCATGTAGAAACAAAAAAAAAGATTTCCCTTATTCATGTGGAAGCACAGCACAAGTGCACAAATCATCCCATCCTCCTACTTTTTCTAGAGGAATTTGAAATAGCCATTGAAGGACATTTCCTACACCTAATAAAAGCATTCCAGTTGAAGTCATTTGAACTACATCCGATTCCTAACCAAACTCCAGGGTTGAACCAATCAACCTTTCAATAAAATATAAAGGATTATTACAAATCAATGATCCCACGAATCATGCAATCTTTAAACAGGCTAACACTTTGAACAGGGAATGGCATCTTCAGTGAATAAGATGCAACTTTTATAAAGGTTATTTGGTTGAAATGATAAAAATATGCTGAATTTTCGGAGTCAAAGTGTCAGTTAAACCCATTCCAGTCAAATATTTAACTAAAAAACGTTAATTCTGATTATAAGCATATCAAGCAAAACCAATAATCAAATATGCTACATATATGATGATATGAGATATGACTATGAGAGTATCAGAAAAGCATATTTGGACATACCCTATGACGCTCAGAGAGTACGGAAGGAGTAATTAGCTTGTATTTGGCTGCGTCAGATAGAAGCTTATCGTAAGTGGCCTTGTCGAAAAGCACCATGTTGTTGACCTTTTCCTTTTGCTTTCCCTTGCTCCACTTCTGCATTTTCACAACCACACAATGCGCACAAAATGTTACTTTGAAAGAGTAATTTTTTATCACTTTGATAGATCTTCCTAGTCCATACAAATACACAGTTGAAAACCATATCAAATACATCGGATACTATACAGAAAGCTAGATCAACGAATCAGACCTTCTTCTTCTGTTTGCCGCCGCCGCCGCCGGACTTGGCGGGCTTCGACGACGGAGGTGGAGCCTTCTCCTTCTTCGGTGCCTGCAATCAAGATCACCATTTTCAAACTGCAATCAAACATTCACAATCGTAGACGATCATTCGATGAGAAGGGAAGAGCATACCATGGCTGTCTGCGGAAACGAGAAAGCGGCCGAGGAGACGATCCTTATATATTAGGCACCGGGCAAGAAAAGGGGAGAATTAGGGTTTCAAGCATGCTACATTTTAGGCCATTTTTTCCTCAATTTAATTTTTTATTTATTATTTATTCTTATTAAAATCTATCGGGTCTGAAATAATTTTAAATATAATTACATTCAATTCAGTTTAGAATTTATTTTAATTAGATGAGATAAATAGATCATGACTTAAGTGTACCCCTAATATTTTTGTACAAAAAATACTAGTGCGATCGAAAAACTTAACTGATTTATACTAGTGTAAATAATCAAAGTATTGATATACACATGTGGTGTTTAGTTTGAGATACAACCACTGGGTACAAGTAACTCTATTCTTAGTTTTTTGTCATTTCACAAAAAATAAAGACTCTTTTATTGAAAAGCCCAGGAACACTTGAGCCACCAGCTCTACGTCTTGAGCTTTCGTATAATTGGAAAATATATTGGGATAAAACCCTTATATTTGATCGATGTATTTTCATTTAGATTTGATTTTTGAATTAAATATTTGATTAGAACTAAAATAGATGATTTCAGGAAAAAAAAACGTACAAGGTACTATTTTGTCCATATGTATTCGTCTAGTTTAATTTTTTTTGAATCAAATTAAATACTCCGCATATTTTAAGCTTCAAATACTTTCAAGTTATACTACTCCCTCCGTCCCACAAAACCCTTCCCCTTTCCTTTTTCATCCGTCCCAAAAAATACTTCCTTTCTTATTAAAAAGTCACTTTTACCACTATTAATTCTTAACCTATCTATCACATCACACTTTTTCTCTACTAATCTACTCATCTCATCCTACTTATCCATCACATCAAAGGGTATTTTTGGAAAGTCAACACCAAAATACACTCCCCTTAAATCCTTTAAAAGTCAAAATGAGAAGTTTTTTAAGGGACGGAGGGAGTACATGTTAGTATAATGAAAATAGAATTATGAAAATTTCCAACAAGATAAATCTAATAAAATTATTTTTATACCAATATACAATATACTTTTTGTTTTTTGAAATTCAAAGTTTACCTTATTTGACTCAAAAGATAAATCTCAAAAGACAAAGGTTTGTATTGTCCATAAAATAACAAGAGTGTGATGCTCTTCCTTTTGTGGAGAGGTTGTATTTATAGTATAGGTTTTATGACTACCAATATATCACATTACGTAATTTATACATCTAATTATGGAACAAGAATCAATCACACGAGGCTTACTCAGTCTTTATCACTTAACCGCAACCTCGATTTGTGCCTCACGGTAAATCAAGAAGTTCTTCTGAAATCAGTGTCCGGGATTTAGAAAGAACGATGGCTAGATCATGGTGGGGTAAAGGCACCGATCAAACACAAATTCAATTAAACATCATAAATCACAAGTGCTTTTTGGGGCACGGAAAGTACAACATTACATGAGTTTGCTTTATAACGTAACCAAAATGGACAAAAAAGCGAAGCTATGATTTGGCATTATAATTGATACAAATGGAGATGAACTGATGTCACTAAAATACAATACAGGCCAAAATGCATATAATGAGAAAAAAAATGTGGTGCAAATAACAGAGCACCTTTTATTAGATTTATATATATACTGCATTTTGGCAATTTAACAGTAACTGCCTCACCAGCCACAAGATACTTATTATTGTTACATAACATTGAGGGTGGAAAGGGGAACTCACGAATATATCATTCGTCTCCATATCCGAAGACAAAGAAACAGAAAAAAGAAAGGAATTGAATAGGAATTTCTTCACCTTAACCAAAGAACATGAACATTAGTGAAGGCTTGGCTTAATCATCGTCCTGGCTGAGCAAAACGAAAGAGAAAGGGCTGAACTTGTACCCATCTCCCTCGTAAAACTTGTTCTGGAACTCGACCCAGTGGAGCCTTAATGCATGGAGAAATGCACTCAGTGTTTCCATCACCAATAGCACGCCAACAGTTGCAGCAATGAAAACAATGATGCCGACAATAAGAATGGCAATGTTGTTGTACCTGCAGCGCAGAAAAGTTTGAATTTTCAGTACTCTTCTCTCCAGCAGCCATTATCAGTACCGAGTTAGCTATTCAAGAATGTATAAATTGGATCTAGAATGATGAATATGATCAATAGCACGAACACATGGTTGTTAACTTGAAAACCAAAGGGAGGTGTGTTATTCGTATACATTTGTACACTATTTGCTCGGTAGTCATTGATGGAACATGAAGATCTATGGAGAAAATGATGAAGAGTATAAGATGAAGAGGAGTCGGGTTGGATCAGGACTGGATCCTTCTCTTCTCAGTGGTATGCCTCTTTTATAGCAGAATAGGAACCTACAGAAAGAGAGGGGTAGGGTTCCTATTGGAGCAAAATGTGGATTCCTATTTACTAAGGTAAAACACGAGCTTTGCCCCATGGGCCTTTATCGTAGGCCGGGCCAAACTTCCTTGGGCCCAGGGAGTAGTATCCCATCAGCCATACAGCACCTGAATTTGCTATATTCAGTTTAGAAATTTTAATATTTTTTTAGATGATAGTCGAACTTGTTTAGCAAATTCAGGTCGAATTTTATCCTAACCAAACAGGCTCTAAATTTGTATGCTATATAGCTATTCCAAGCCAAGCTTTATCCCCTTACCAATCAGGCCCCAAAATCTACATTTTCCTAGGAAGCTAAGGTAGCTAGATAGGTCCTATGTTGCACCAAAATGGATGTACAGATATGGCCCGTATGGGTAATGCAATACATATACATTTTTAAAAAGTATTGCAAATGAACGAGTACATAAATAAATGATGCACGGTGTATCATAAGCTACTCAGACCCCTCTCAAACAATTAGTAATGAAATCATAAGGTTGGTTCTTTTGACACCAAGGGCCAGAGTCATAACTCCAGTCCATTTGAGGGTCCTCCAGTGCGGTGTTCGACCCCGAAGTAGTTCTTACCTCCCTAACATCCCTAGCCTTCCATTGCGTTCCACTATAAAACATATTTGATAGTGGATTTCCCCGGGGGAAGGGGGGAGCCGGGTCGAACAGAGCACCGTAACTCTGTAAGGCTCTCAAATAGACCAATGTCATAATATGACATTGGAGTGGGGTATCAATAGAAATCCAGAGTGCAATAATTACATTCAAACTACTATGGACAAGAGGCAAGCACTTACCCCCAAGCAAGGAGGAGGACCTTCTCATAGAAGACAGTTGATAACTCAGAGTGTGCAAGACTGAAAGATTGACAAAAATGCAGAATACTTAAATGATTAGACAAAAAAGTACTACATGAAAAAAATTACTTCATATGATGAATGCAAGATATTGGTCACACAAACAAGGGAGCCCTACTGGGGCAGTAGTTAGATAGACCGGTCAAGCCTGTTGAGCAGGCCCAGTAGTTAGCTGTCTGAATGCAGACTTTTGGCGCCTGCGCACATCCTTTTGTCTATATATACCTCTCCCCAACCTGTTGGGAGGTAGGAGGCACTCATTTTCAAGCAATCAATACACAAGCATTTCTCTCTCTTTCCCTACCCGAGTTCCCATAATGCATCAGAAGCTCTAGCCAATATTCACTGTCTATAGAAGCATACACAATGGCATAATTCCCACATACATAACCACACCCTGAGATTACAGTACCAAGACTATCAACTATTTCTTCAACCATGGAATTGACACTGAAGCCTCAAATTGGCAAATGTTATTAGCTGATTTAGCTCTTTACACTTTTCATTCCAAGTCACAGATCATTGTAAATAACTTGGTCGGAAAATCTTTTATTCTATGATTGCTATTTGTAAATGTGCGAGGGCTTAGGCTGTCACCCAAGCTCTGATATTTTCAGGTAAATATACACTGTTCCAGGAAAATCGCACATACCTGAGGGCCCACAGACGAAGATAAGAAGCTGTGTTAGAGACTGCTCCCAGGACAAACTCTATGGTGTGTATGAGTTGATGCACAAAGACTTCACTGAACTCAAATTCCTCATGATCACTAGAACCATGATTTCCGTCCACCAGTAAAGATTCATCAAGATCTTGAATTGGTGCATAGGCCTGTGATTGGTGCCTCTGAAGAATCAACAATGTGTGTGTGTGCGCGTTAAAATCTCATAATATAAGGCAATAATAAAAGGAAAGAGAAACTAAAATATAAAGCATACATTGTGTTGTGATTTCAAAAGGAAAGGTTTAGGGAGAAGCATCCACGGGACAGAAACCAGAGCCAAAAGTAGAAGCACGAGCTGAAAAAAAAAGTGAACTCGTGATTAATGAAAATACATTTAAAGAAAAATATTTTTCACTTGTAAAAGGAACAAAAAAGAGAAAAATGAACCTGAGTTAACTTTTGACCAGGAAAAAGTTGATTTTCACCTAGCTCCTCAGTAGGACCAAGGAACATGTATATCATCACATGGTATAAATCAGCTTGTGAACCACTGCACCACTTTATGATGATGAGGACAGAAAGGTAACCAAACAACGCATTCAAGAATATCACTTGAGGAATAAACTGACACCTGAAATTGTATCATTTAGGCAGGTTTAGGTACATTTGCTTAACAATAACAGGTGCACCCTCCAGTTGAAGCATATCAAACTAACCATGTATTTACACTATTTCTGAAGTATTTGGCATTAAAGTAGCTCAATAGTATCCCAAGGTTCATTTGAGCCACCCCAAGCAGAATAGACATTTTCATCTTTAAGGAGTTCAAAAACGGCAATTCACTGCGAGAACCATGCCAAGCAGGATCCACACCAAATGGATAAGTATCACGAGACTTGATTAGGCCTATTGTGGTAGCCTCACTGCAATGGAGATTAAACAGTGTAAGATCCTACTAACATTTACTCCACAATGTAGAAATAACAATGCTGAAGTAGCTACCTGCAAGCAGAATCACGGCATGTGTATGCTGATTTACTAAATAAAGCAAATGGAACAGAGAAAAATTCGTTATAGATAAATCCTGTGTAGATTGAGAAGATTGCCATCATCAATATCACATAACGCCCACCAAACGTCATTTCCGTGATGTCTCCAAGTTTCTGCATTAAGAAATCATTATCTAATATGATATGATTAAAAAAAGGGCCAAGTTCATGTAGAGGAATTAGGGAAAAATACTCCCTCCGACCCAAAACTAAAGTCACACACTATTCATGGGTCAACTTGTTTCTTTCTTTACTTATTTTTTAATCATTTGTTAAAATAACATAGTCCTTCCACCCATTCTTTTATAGTGTATTCAATGTAGTTTTTAAATGCATAAATTTTATTTTAAAATTTAGTACCATTATTTTAAATACATTGAACTGAAAATGAATGCAGTCAACCCTCATAATTCATGTTGTGACATTAGTTGTGGGACATAAACAGTATCTGATTCCATAAAATTCCATAACATTGTTGAAACTCTGATTCATGAATACATTCGCTGATCCTGAAATCTTGAATGTTCCAATGGCTAAGATATCAATTGGAAAATTTCAAGACTCAAATTAGCACAAAGAAAGGCTTTAAACTGAAGTAATAAAGACCCATAAACGGGAAACTTTGGTTGTGCTCAAAAGTGCTCACACTACATTCTCCATACCCATAAGTATAGTGTCATAAATATTCCCACACCCCCTCCTGCAATCAGGCAACCAAGTGGCTTGAGCATGGCATGAAGAAAGAACGCCACATGCCCACATTCAAAGTCTTTAGTACAATGGAATGTAGAGTGCATATATTTGATGTGGCTACATGTAACTGACTAGAGTTTATGCATCAACTAAAAAATTACAAACTAATTATATAGAAGGTATAAATGTATAATCACCTGATTAGAAAGTTTTTTCTCACGGATTATAAAGTACAATGTTGCAAGTAACAGGCATATACCATGTCCCCAGTCACCAAACATCACTGCAAAAAGAAATGGAAATGTGACGATAGTGAATACACCCGGATTTGCTTCTTGATACCTGGCCACCCTGTTATATGACAAACCAAGGAGCATATTATAAGTTTGGTTGTTAAAAACAGTATGAATTAGATAAAATGATGCAAAATATTGATACAACTGCAAACCCATTATAACCCCAACTACGTTGGGTTTTGGGGGTCAAGTTGTACAAACAAAGAGGTTGTTTCCGTTAGACCCTTAATGCCTTGTTGTAAAGGATTAATGTGTCAAGAAAGTAGACAACAACTAAGATTAATACTCTCTCTGTTTCTTTTTACTGGACCCATCAAATTACATCTTCTTCCATTACCTATTTTCTGTAGTCATTTGTTAAAATTGCAAGTGAAGTCACCTCTTCTTTTATAGAGTTCTAGATGTACTTTTTTAAATATTTTAAATTTATAGTTCAACTTTAAGTTAATATTTAAACTAATTGAGTTGAAATTAAACTGAAATGATCATAGCAAAACAAAATGGAGGGTGTAATGTTACTTATTAAACTGCTACAACACTGATATACAACTGCTAGGCTGTCAATGTTAAGAGATTACAATAATAGAGTTGCAATAGAAAGAATATTGTAACGCTATCCAAAATACTAAATGCTTGAGTACTCTCTAATAATATGATTTTTTGTTCTCGATTCTCATCACCAAAATAAAAAATATGAATAAAAATCTTTTCAAGTACACTCACCCATACGCATCAACAATCTCTTGAAAAGCAGAAGTAAATTTGTTTGTCCGGAAATATGTGGGTGGCAACTCTCGTGTAGCTAATATCCGGAAAATTGCATCCATTTCTGAATTAGAGTCACGTGCTGCCCGATGCAATTCATCCTGAATCTGCACGACCATATCAACCATTTAATGAGCAACTCTATTGGTAATTCTTTTTTAAATTCTCTAAATGTCACCTAATAAACATTCTTATTTACAATTTTCCAATGATGTTGTTGCAACAAATTTCAGTACAATGCTACCAAGAGCCAACATTTTCCTAAATTCTGAATATATTTTATAACAATACACCATAATGTGTGATATCTGAATACTAACATGAATGAAATTCAACAACTAAACACCTCTTTAGTTGCAAAAGTAGGACACCAGCCTTCTGCAACCAGGCATGTCTTTGTCACGTCAATGCTAAGCATATTAAGTGTATGATAAATGGATTTCTCCCTTCGAACCTGCAGCGTAAAGATTGTGTAAAGTTATTAATTCATCCATAGGAATGATGCTACTACCTATAACCACTTTTTATGTGGCATATGGAATGTAACAAGAAAGAATGCCTTATTTCATAAGACTAACCAAATAGTTCCATCTGTCGAACTGTTCACCAATAGTTTGTAACAGATTCCCACGGTGCAGAAATCCAGCATCTATTGCTGTCTTTAGTTCAGAGGTTTTTCCAGATACCTTATAAGAAAAAGGGGTGTTAGGTTATTCCAGAAAGGGTTATAACCAGATATATGGTCAAGGGAAAGATAGGAAGAACCGAAATAACATATAGTAGTACCTCTGCTATCAACTGAGCCTGTTTACTAAGTTCCTCGGCAAATGGGTACCTGTTTGCTCCAAAAGCTTCACATATCTTGAGAATTTTGTTCTTTGCCCTTTCGCCTGAAAAGAACACTAAAAATGCATTTTTCTCAACCTGCAATAAAATGATAGAATAAGCAACAACACGGTATGGAAGAAGATATTCACAGATTATTAAGAAAACGTGAAATGCTGACTCTATATTGAGTAATTTTAAATACATATAATGTCCTATATTTCAGAAAATGCCACAAAAGATAACATGCTGACCTTTTCTCCTGAAATGGGATCAATGACGGGCTCCTCAACCTCATGTTCTCTCAGCAACACATTACCCCGGGTAGCTCGGAAGAGAATACGCTCAAAGGCCATGGATTTCTCTCTAGGAACAAGCCCAGCAATAGAACCCAATCTAATTTGCTTAGATGAATCATAAGACAATTCCTGCAAAACAATTCTTTATTGAATACTATTGGGATCTGTTTGATTGGAGAGAAATAAGTTGGTATGAAACATATTTCATGTGGATGATGATTCCTTTGGGAATATTTTTCTATATATAATGTAAAACCAAAAAAAACTGATGCAGGAGAACGACTCCATCTCTTACAACTTACAAGACTACATTGTTTTGACTTCCTCTGTTGAAATGAGGAATATGTTTTCCACATATATACAAAGAACCAATGAAGATTCATTCCTTCGATAAAAATGTTTTCCAATGGACAAGAATATCTAGAAAGCCTACTAGAGGAAAGCTACTGATCACTAGTGGAAGAAGGCAAGATTACCAATTCTGACAAGAGTGGAGCTTCCACAGACTCTTCACCACTTTGATTTGATGCATATTCGTGTTGCTGAGATTCAGCACTACTCTGAGCTGAGTGAAATATTTCACCAACCTGCAGAAATATGGAAAAGATGTGTCTTTTGACTCTAATCATAAAATTTTAAAGCAATCTCTTCTATAAGTGGGTTTGAATCCAACTGTAAAGTTGATGTACAAGAGGCTGGATAAAATATCCAGCTACTCGGACTCTATTTAATTATAAAAGTGCCCTTTGTAAGGTACCATTACCTATCGTTTTGGGATCAAAACTAGTTACACTTGTCTTATATTTACTGGCTAAAAAAACATTTACCTATTGAACCCAAAAGAAATGCAAAAGAACCACAAAGGAAGATTACAAGGCATTACCTTCTGCAAAACAAGCTTGTATTCCACAAGTTCATTGTATGATCGTTGTAACTTACTATTGTTAGCATTTATTTCAACCAGTTCGGCTTCGAGTTCTCCAAGCTTCACCTAGATATACATATACAGAATATAAATGTTCTCAAAATAAACCGGGTACAATTACAAATTTGGACTAAGCAAAGCACAAAGATATCCCAGTAACCCATACATACCTCCAGATCATCAAAACTTAAGTCGTCCTGTGTGACAGACTTGGCAGAAAGTGACAATCCTGCTTTAGACATTTGATCCTTGAAAAACCATAACTTGCGTGCCATTTCTCCACATCTCTTAATCTACAAAAGGGGAAAAACAGTACTACATATAGTTGTTCTCTTGTTAATAGCAAACGATCTACCTAAATGAAGAATATATTTATGCAACCCACATTGAGATAGGGTATCTAACGGTTTGCCAAAGAGATGGAAAATTAGTGATTCTCAAAAAACTTGATTGTGGCAACTTGTTGAAATCACTTGAAACTTAGAAGTCATAGTGATTACTATGAACCATCTCCTAATGGATGTGATGGTTCTATAAAAAAAATGATCATTTGAAAAAGCTTACTGCATGACCGCCATGAACATGTTTTATGTGTTCTATTGTAAATAAATAAGCTTATATCATCAAAACTAAACACTTAATAAAAAAATGGAATCATTTAAAGCCACTGCGACATCTTAATTGCATGATGATAAAAGAACACATTTACCTGAGTAGCATATGTTCGCTGGAAAGGGCTCTTCTCAACATTCAGCTGGAAGAAAATAGAAAAAAGGAAAAAATAAATCAATAGCCGTGGAAGATGAGAAAGACTACAACAAGGAAGATCAGTGACCGATCTTTAAAGAGCATCATGACAATTACTAAGACATCAATTAATCACCACCTTAAAATCATCCAGTTGTGCATAAAAATAAATGCCAATGCCAGTTACTTGCTAGATTATCAACAACAAAAAAAACAGTGACAATGTTTAACTGCCCTTCCCTTCACAGCCTTTTAACCAGTGAGAAGGTTTGGCAAAAAGACAGGCTATCTTTCCTTATCCTAGATCTTATCCTTGTATCAACCCTTCTACTAGATGGTTGATGGTTCAATTAGTCTTTTTCCCCTATATCAAAGTTAGAAGAATATTTTTTTGCCAGCATCACATTTGTCTATGTTGGTACACTTTTTACCGATTCCACTAGCGTTCCTCCCACAAGTGGAAAAGCCAACCTAGGGACATGTGCCCCGCAGGTGGAGAAAAATGATTGCTTTACAACAACAACAAGCCCAATATAATTCCAAATTTTGTTGGGGTCTTGGGGTCAAAATATATGCACCTTTATCCCTATAAAACACATACGCCGTTTCCATTACACCATTGATGCAGTGATGCACTTACTGCCAAAAACTTCATAGATAATAAAGCAAGAGAAGTTCAATGTGTCATACTGTCATTTGATATAATCCAAAGAAATATTTACCCAAAGCTAAAACATATTCAAAATTGACTCTTTTAGCTCCAATACCAATAGACACAAAAAAAAGCCCAACAAGGAAACTCTTTATATAAACCAGTCCCAAGACAATTCGAATTTTTAGCTATGTTTCTGCAGCCAATCGAAACTTTTTCTTTCCGCAATGAAGAATGAACACACACAAAAAAAAAGTACCAACCACCCATAGCTACGATTAAGTCAAGTGAGCAGAAATCCCCTAGCTCTATTAATCATCATCAAGAGTTCGTGGCCTCTCCAGCCTCTCCTTATCAATAATAATGAAATAATCAGAATGATTATGCGCGTATGGAGGTAGGGCGTACATCTTTAAACTGGATGAGGCCAAGGTCGCCGAGGTAAGCGACGGAGAGGTGAGCGTACTCGATTGGAATGATGAGTTGAACGAGCTGCATAGGCTCCGATCTGAAGAGATCCATCGGTGGGCAGCAGCCGCTTCTTCCTCCGCGCTGCTCCGCCATTGTTTCTCAGCTCCGCCCTCGCGCGATCTCCCTCCTCCGTTGTCTAATCTATGTCCGGATACCGGTCTCTAGTTGCCTCTCAAAATTATTACGTGGTAGTTCCTTTGGGGCCGAATTACCCCTTATTAATGCTCAAAAGTTTTAAAGTTATAAAAATTTATAGAGACACGTACACCGGGCCCGTTGTTTTAATTTCCGATATTACCCCTCATATAAAGTTTTATATAGACAAGTACAACGGGCCAAGCTCAAAACTCTATAAATTTATAAGAAATTTTCTTTTCCGTTTGACTTGACATGGAAATTGAAAAAGTTAAAAGATGTAAAAAAATTTCATTCTTATTCTTGATGTGATAGAATAAAATAAATAATGTAGAAAAAAAATAGAGCTCTAATGACACATTCATTAAAAGTGTTTTTGTTAGAATAGAAAACAGAAAAGAAACTTTTAGACATTTCAAAAAATAAAGTGAAAAAAAATTTAATACACGAGTGGAGTAATACAGATCAAGTAAACGAGTTTAAAATAGTTTCTATGTTTAAATATAGGGTATTTATTTTATTTTATTTTTTCAAGTCAAATTAGATAAAATTCAATCATTGATAATTCTCAAATTTTATTATATGTTATTCGATATATAATAAGGTAAACTTTTGAAATTTTTCAATAAGAAATCTATTAAGTCATTTTCTATTAAATATAATTTTTATTTAGGGTCTATTTGGAAACAGAAAAGTAGGTTCTGGAAAATAATTTCTGAGAAATGAGTCATTTTCTTGATTTCATTATCCTTTTTCGTGTTTGGCGAAAAGTCGGAAAATTGTAAGTTTTTGTTTGGTTTATTTTTGAAAAATGAGTATCTCCAAAATAAATATTTATCAATTTGTATTTTAAACATTTTATCTTACATATGGTAGACTGATTGAATATTACGAAGTATACCATCAATTAAATCTTTAGCTTTCTTCTCCAAATGTTAGGACGAACAAAATTGAAGGGAAGAAATTTTGGTGAGGGGAGAAATTTTGGGAGGGAAAATATTTTACTGCAACTATATCGTGCGTGAGCCAATGGGGGATTTTTTTTGAAGAAGAGCATTTTCTTCTCCCTTTGATTAAAAGAAATAAAAATATTTGTACCAGAAAATCTTTAATTTATTTGCTGAGTAATAAGTAAGTTTAAATTGTATTTATTTTATAGTATACTGTACATAGTATCTTATATAAATTCAGAGTATTTTTCTTTAACTACGGAATATTAGATATGGCATTTTTATGGTAAATATGATAACAAAATAAGAGATTTAAAAAACAAATAATTTTAAAAATTGGACAACAAGATATGATATGATGCTCCCACCCTCCCATCAATTCAATTTATTTTGTGATTAGTGTATAATTAAGAATAAAATTTATATGTAATGAAATTATTTTTCAAAATATGTAAATTTGAGAGTATTTAACAAAATACAAAGTAAAAGATAACTTGATTATAACGCTTAAATTCTTTTATATTAGTGATAATTTAATCAATGTTATTATGTAGGTGTTTCTCTGTGTTTATAAACACGTCAAAAATACTTAAGGGGGGTTTTATAATTAATGGGAAAAGCCCTACTATAAATGGGTTACAAAAATGAAATGAAATCCTACTTTGTGTGTGTGTGTGTGTGTTCTACATGATGACCTCAGCCTTTTGTAAGACCTTTCTTCTTCCAAGTATCTTCACATTGTTTCCTGATAACAGTTTCATGGCCACTTCCATGTTTACGTCCTTGGGGTTCATGCTCTGTCACCACACACATTTACATTCACATAATTAGCTTGTTTACAAACTAGCATTGAATAACAACTAGAAAGTTAAAAAAAAAGAACAATCAGATGAAATTCCGAAACTGTCCTTATAATAAGAATTTATTTGGCATAAGCTCTCAAGCGATTCATGCAACATGCAAACACACACAAACAAAGAATTTGAACCACAACATACCTTGGGTAACGAAGCAATTGTGCGCTTATGTCTGATTTTATATCCTTCTACTCAAACTCTCATGATAATGTCTCGTCCATCATCTGGATCACGTACCAAAGTAACAGGATAGCGCAGCATATCCAGGGCGTGTTCCAAGGTTACGGATGTGATATCCTTTACCTGAGCCAAAGAATATCGTGAATTCATTCAAAAGAGTATCTGAGAGACGTTTGTGTGTCAACATGAGGGCAAGTTGTATGGTCATATAGACGAAAATGTGGAATCAATTAACGTTGGTCGTTGGGCATACTTGCTACAGACTAAAACTCAATCTACATATGAAACCGGTTTGTTCCTTATGGTATTATTGACATTAAGAGGGTGTTCACATAGGTTTTGTTTTTTCAAAGGTAAAATATTTTCATGCACAGATATATACTATCCATTTGTGTGCGTCTCAGCTCAATATATTCCATTCCATCGAAATTGAGATCTTGGTTGGGATTAAAAGTGTCAATGGGCATTTATATTTATGTCAATATGCAATAGTACGAGAATACTGAAGATAATGACACAAAACTAGGGACTGTCATTCCATTACAGCCAACACAAATACTCATCGGGTTCACTGACTGAATACAAGGCCAGGAATGAAGCCTCCTATTTAAGGATAGTGTGAATGAAATGCTTAAAAACATGAAGACATGAACAGTAAATATAGTTGTTCTATTATGCTGGATGATGAGAACTATCCTAACCAAACATGCCCAACATGCCCTACTCGAAAGTAAGGCATTTACACCTATGAGTAGATTGTTTCCATGAGATCCCCAGTTAGGGATATTTCATCTTCGGAAGTCTCTTTTTTGCACTTCCTCTGTTTCTTTTTTTCATTTTTATGAAAAAATGTCTTAATTAAATAGGGACGGAGGGAGTAATAAAAAACAAAGTTTCACATTGCACTTGGCTCTTTAAAGCATCCCTATAGAATGTTTCTTTGATGAAAGTTTGGCTTTTCGAAAAAATTTGTTGTGAGCATCATAATGCTTATAGATAAAAGCCGATAAGTAATATGGTGGCATTTCATAAAAATGTCAATGGGTAGTATTCTATGTCAAAATTAGTTCACTGCTCACATACTTGGGCCAGTGATGATCGCTTGGGGGTGTGTCCTGCCCTGTCTTCTCCGAGTTGAACATAGTATCCATACGGACCATTCTTAACAAAAACCTATACACATGAAAAAATGCAACACCTTATAGTGGACTAAATCAGATACAAGTGTTAAGTGATATAATGCACAGGCGAGAGGTGAGAACCTTTTCATTTGAAGACGGATGGACGCCCAGCAATATCGGTTCATCTATATTTTTATTATCATCTGATGCAATTTCATCTTCCTGCTCACCATACAATGTCTTTGCAATGTACCTGAATAGTTTGAGAGTTATTTGCCAATACAAGTATACAACATAGTAACATTATTGGTATTTGGTAACAACACTTGCCACAACCACAGTTGAGAAGAAAATGCTTCAATGAAGAATACAGTGACAATTCTTCTAGTTCTACTCATGCAAGAGAAAGTATCATTTCCAACAAAAAAAGTGGCCAGCAACAAGAGGAGGCCCAAGTTCATCTATACTTGCTGATAGGTCACAAGACGTAAGATCAAAGCTCCAAAATGTTCAAATTTATTACATCATCAAGAAAATCATTAATGAACAATATTATAAATTGAATGATTGGAAGGGATGCGGAGAAAAAACTCCTGATTGGGTTTGGCATGAAGTTTAAGTAAAGTAAAATTGAATGATTGGAAGGGATGCGGAGAAAAGAGAAAGATTGTACGCCACATGAAGTTATCTAAGAAGGGAAAGAGGAGTCTTTTTTGGGACCTCCAGAAAAAGAAAATGAGAAGTCTTTTTGGGGTAGAGGGAGTAGAAGAACGAAAATAAGATGTGCAGCCTTATAATGGGAAACTCACTTGCACTTAGGGTGTTGATCGCAGCCTATAAAATACCCTGCACCAAACCTGCTGACTTTGAATGATAAAGTTCCTTCCTCACATCTAGGGCATGTCCTAGAATGGTGTGGAATAGATGCAAATAAAAAGTCTCCATATGTTTTTTCCAACATCTTCTCCACGTGATGGATGTGCACGTTACCAGCATGTTCACAGTACTTGCTAAATCTAGACCAGTAATCTTTCAACAGACCTTTCCATTCAGTCAATCCAGCAGACACATTATCAAGTTCAGTCTCCATATCAGCGGTAAAAGAATAATCTGCCACTTCAGAAAAATAATGTGAAAGAAATGCTGATACCATGCGTCCCCGAAATTCAGGATATAGTGTCCTGCTTTTGGCAGTCACATATTTCCTATCCATTAACACTTTGATTGTGGATGCATAAGAAGAAGGTCTTCCAATACCAAGTTCCTCCATCTTCTTGACCAAACTGCCCTCAGAGTAGCGTGGTGGATGCTGAGTATGATGTTGATTAATTTCTGTTTTGCCGCAAAACAATGTGTCCACCGACTTCAAATCACTCAGAACCTCGAATATTTTAGTCCGGCTATTATCCCCATTTTCATCTTTATGTATTAAATTAGTGTCTTGGTCCCCATTTTCATCTTTATGTATTGAAATTGTTTCTTGGTCCTCATAAACAGCCTGGTAGCCTTGAAACTCAACTTTCGAGCATGTAGAACGAAAAATAATAGATTGATCAGATTTCCCAATATCAAGTACTATCTGATCTATGGTAGCAGGTTCCATTTGGCATGCCAATGCGCGGGACCAGATAAGTGTGTATAACTTCAAGGAATCATCATCTACTACCCCGGACAGCATTGAAGGAAGCCTACAAATATCGGTGGGTCTAACGGCTTCATGGGCCTCTTGAGCATTTTTAACCTTCCTAAAATATGTACGAGGATTTGTGGATGCAAAATTATGACCATATCGCCCTCTAACAAAGGACTGAATGTCCTTTGCAGCCTCCTCTGAAATATGT